TGACGTTACAGAGCCGTTTCGCTCTTTGGTGGGGCACTTGATGTGGCTTGCGAATCAAACTCGGCCGGACATCCTCAGCGCCGTCCGTGCCGTTGCACGGTATTCTTACGCGCCCAAGTCCGTACACTGGAAGGCTGCGTTGCATATTGTGATGTACATTAGATTCACGAGTGCGTACGGTATTACATTTCAGCGGGGTACGGCAGGTGGTGTTAGCTTGGAGGTGTACGTGGACTCGGACTACGCTAGCAAAGCGACGGACAGGCGGTCTGTGTCGGGAGGTGTTGTCATGTGCGCGGGGTCCTGCGTGTCTTTTTTCTCTCGGACTCAGAAGAGCGTCACGCTGTCTTCTACGGAAGCTAAGTACGCTGCAATGGCCGATGGGATGAAGGAGGCGATTTTCTTGCGGTATCTCTGGAGTTTTATCTTTCCGGATGGGTATGTGGGGTGCACTGTTATCAAGGAGGACAATGTCGGGGCGCTTCATTTGGCTAATAACCCAGCCACAACCCCCCAACTCCAAGCACATTGACATCCGCCACTATTTCATTCGTGAGCGTGTTGACCGGGGGGAGTTCAAGGTCGTTTTTGTTCCGTCGCATTTGCAGCACGCCGACTTTCTTACGAAACCACTACACAAGGAGGCGTTTTCAGTGCACCGCAACTTTGTCATGAACCTTTGAGGCATTCTTGGGCTGTTCGTGTCCTGTTTATGTTTGGCGGCATGTCTTTTGGTCAATGTGTGTTTTTCTTGATGTTGTCTTGATGTTGTTGGGTCACTGCTAGCACTGCTGTCGAAAACCATGGGGGGGGATGAATGTGATGCTGAGATGCCATGATCTTCGCCGCAGTACAAGGAGAGTTCTAGCGGACGTTCGGGTTTGATTGTTCATTTTGTTCACGTTTTCCGCGTTTTACCTGCGGAAAATGATGAGAAGTCCTCCATTGTTGTTTGTTTGCGATTCCGCTTTTACCTGCGGAGTTTGAGGCAACTTCGTCCTCAATTCTTGTTTGTTTGCGATTCCGCGTTTACCTGCGGAGTTTGAGGCAACTTCATGATACTTGTCTGATTCCTCGTTGCTAGGATAAGAAATACATTTCTTGTTTATTCGCGATTCCGCGTTTTTCCCGCGGAGATCGGACGTAACTTCATGATATTCGTTTGATTTCTCGTTGTTTGGATCCGAGAGTTGTTGCAGCAGGGGGGCTGTTAAGCTGCTGTGTTTTGAGAGATGATGCAGCAGGGGGGCTGTTAAGCTTTTATGTTTTGGAAGATACTGCAGCAGGGGGGCTGCTAAGAAATCCATGCCTCGATGTTTGAGAAACGGCATAATTGGCGAAAGTTTCCTCTGGCGTCTTTGATCGCCGGGTTTTTAACGTTTGTTTGTCTATTTGTGCCGCATGTATTAGGTATTGATGACTGTTCTGAACGATGTATTGGAGGAAGGATTTGACATATTTTGGTAAGACATGGTTGAGGCCTATGTGCTTCCGAAGCTTATTTCAAATTGGTCAATGAGTTGAAACACAGTTTTGTGCGAGGGTTTTGTTCGAGGTTTTGTTGACGCGTTCTGCCAGAGTTGTCCGTCCAGAGTCTTTATGACGTGGCTCTGATGTAATGTTGATCTTTGCTGAGTAATCTTCCAAGGATAATTCTTTGTGTTTGACTACTTGAGAATGTGGTGACGACATTTTCTCGAGAGGGGTGCTTGTTAAGACTCTTAGTGAAGTTCCATAGTCGTAGGAGGAGTAGTAACCTGAAACTTGAATATTCGATAGATCCGGGAGTTGAGATGATTTATTTGTGGATACGAAAGATGAATGGTTTTTAGATTTGTTGCCGTTTTACCTGGCGATATGTACGGAGGATCTCGTAGATCGTATCTCGTACCGAGTAGGGGGGCTGTTTGTGTGTGTACACGGCAGGATACAATTCTCCGAGATCTCCGAGGGGGTTACGCAGATGAGATAGATATGGGTATGATATACAGACTTGGTGCAGCAGGCTTTGCCTCTTCTTGCTCACGTCTGTCACTCGTTACACTCTCTAATAAGCAAGGAACTTGAGTCACTCCTTCGTGCAACACGCTCTCGACAAGAGCCCGCGAGCGTGATAACATAGTACACGCGCCGACACCCCAAACACCAGCGATGTGTTTGCCGGGAAGTCTTGCGCGCTTGGCAAATTAAACAATGCCGAAGCCACCAACGAATGGACAAGTCCATCCCAATCCACCAGAAAAACCGCTCCATCATACGTAAAGTCCGAGCGGTGCCCAGGTGAAAAGACGCGATGGCATGACATGCTTGTAGGACCCAAGGTCGCAACAGCATAGGCACGTATATGCGCGGAGTCTTCGAAGGCGGGAGGCGAGTGATACGCCCGCCCGAACTACCAAGAGGCAGTGGGGCAGAATTTCGCACCAACAATCGCGTACCATCGTCTGTAGTGTGCAGGCATGTGTTAGATGCGAGGGCGACAACATCAGACAACACCGGCGTCGCGCACAGGGCAAGCAATCCCAGAAAGTATCCGGCAAAACCGCCGGGGATCCCAAAGACAAAATATGTATAGCCGACACACACTCACTTTCGGACAGCTGTTCTCGGGCCCAATCGGCATGCGAGAATGTACGCACACAGTCGCGGAGGTGAGCTTCCTCAGCGGCCGTGGGCGGCGCCACGGGAGCCGCAGGGCTAGAACCCGCGGGCGACAACACTGGCGGCGTGGGCGCCGCGGGCGGCGGTGGCGCCGGGGTGGCGGCAACTCAGCCGGCGCCGAAGAAGGCAGCGGGCCAGAAGTAGGGCTACTCACGGCTCTCGTAGACCGCGCGGCACCGCTCGACCGGGCCAGCGTTCGAGGAGGCCGCGACGTTCTGGGCACCACAACGGCCCGTGGTTGTTTCGGAAAATAGTTGGGACGGCTGTGAGCCATGCCCGAGGCCGAATTCGTTCTCACCCGAGTACGAAAAGAAATCAGAGGGCCACGCGAAAGCGACAGAGCAGCTGAGGATTTTCCGATGGTGGACGAGGGAGCGACGTCTGGCTCCGCAGAAACGGAAGCCGGAGGAGGTCCATAGGGCACAGAACTCTCGGGGGCTGCATCGCAAACGACAGCGAAAACACCAGGAGGCGAAAAATTCGACGAGTCAACTACGGAGGAGGGCGACGGAGCCGGCAGGACCATTTGTGGCCCAAAACGGCGGAAGTCCCCAAAGTCATCCTCCGTCAAAGGCGCGTGTGCCAACGCGTCTCGTTGATCGTCAATGTCAAGCCCACCCAAGCCGATGTTCGGCGTCGAACTAGAGTGATAACTTCGTCTTCACGCACGAATGAGATAAACGCCCGCGGCGTCATCGACTGCGATACTGGTGTCACCGTGTCTATCCGCGTCGGTCGCCGGCAAGGGCAACCGCGAAAGAAAACCCGCATTGGCGTTGGCAGTGCCTTTGCGGTAGACAAGGGTGTAATTGAACGAGGGAGGGAACTCGAGCCAACGTTGGACGCGGGCGTTGTGTTCACCCACCTTGACGATACTCTCCGAAGCCTTGTGATCCGAATAAATCAGAAAGTGCGTAGACCAAAATAACAGCGTAGGGGTTTGATTGCCCACACGATACTTCCGGCCTCCAAGTCGAGCACTGTCCATTTGCGCTCGGATTCGAGCGTAGCGCGGCTAACGAACAGAATGGAGCGGACGGAACCATCGGCCTGTTCCTGTTCAAGAGCCGCACCAAACCCATCCACACAGGCGTCACAGCAAAGCCGGAGAGGGCGGCTGCCATCCGCGACAGCGTCCCATTCTGGGAAAGCCAAAATTCAGACAGTTTCGCCAAGAGTATCCGCCATAGCCGGCGTAAAACAAAACTTCGTGTCCTTACGCAAAAGGTCTGTGAGTGGTTTCACGCGCATGGCCAAACCCTTGATTAATTTGCGGTAATACGAAAGCCCACCCAGCAAGGAACGCAGCTGCTTGACGTTGTTAGGCAGCGGCATTTTTGCGAGGGCTTCGACCTTATCGGCACGAGGACTAACACCCGCAGGAGAGATGGTGTGGCCTAGATAAACAACCTCGTTAGCGCCGACGCGACTCTTGAAAGGAGAAAGCTTGAGGTTCTACTTGCGTAAACGCTCGAAAAATAACTGTATGTTGGCGACATGGTGGATGAAGTCAGCGTCAAACACAATCACATCGTCTAGGTATGCAAGGACATGGTCCAGACCTTTAAGCACTTCGTTGATGACCATGGTGAACCACGACGGTGCCACGGAGCTTCCCTGAGGCATACGGAGCCACTCGAAAAGTTGCGTGGGCGTACAAAACGCCGTAAGCTGAACCTTGTCCTCTTCGACGGTGATCTGGTGGAAAGCGGAGTTGAGATCGAAAATGGAAAACACATGAGACAAATGTTTCGTGTTGTTTTTGGCCTCCAAATGATGATTGGTGGTCCGAACAGGCCTGTCCGTCCTCACCACCGACGTAGACGGGTTCGATCACAGCATCGTCATCGAGGTCACTGATCCCCACAGCCTGGACAGCTCTTGCGCGGCCGGAGTTTCGCCTTGCCTCGCGGACGGCGCGCTGAAGGTCTTTCTCGACGGGAACGAGGCGCTGTTCGCCCCTGGCACGGTTTCCTGGCGCCCAAACGTGGGAATCTCTACGGCAAACCTCCCTGGCCCCTGCCTCTCGTTCGGCTTCGAGAAGGTTCGGCGAATGAGGTTCTTTTCTCTTTTTTTTCAATGCGGCTTCTTCTCGCGTGTACTTGCCGACCTCTACGTAGTCTAGACATCGTTGTTTATGTCAAACGCGCCTGCCTTCTCTAACTGGCCTCCCAACTGGTGGCGATGGTATTATAGATCCTGGGACCTTCTCGTTCGAGGGAATGTAGTCGATTGCCAGAGGCTACAGTACTGCGGCATCTACTAGAAAGCCCGTCCATTTAGTCCTCACCACCAACCGGTGACTGCACTGTCCCGTTGATTTTTCACCTTGTCTGCAGTACTGGGAACGCAAGAAGCTCGAGTACGCCAACCACGGTCGTCGCCTGGGGTCCAAGCTGAGCATGGTCGAATGGATCCTTAGGGTACGGAGAAGAAGTCGACCGACCTCTGAGTTCTTGTGGGCATACACTAACGTTATAGCGGTTGGTAGGAGCTTTTGAGCGACGTTGCGCAATGTTGGTTCCTTGCTTTCGGAGGAAGAAAGCACGAAAGGCTAGTAGGGGTAATACCTAGAGGTCAATGTGTGGTAAACACCTTCAGAGTAGTATCTTGTGTTGGTGACCCGGCGGCAACGGAATAGGCTCTTTCTGCCAATTATTTTTTCTCAACGCAAACTATGCCCCGTCAAAGGCCACCATATCATAAACTTTTTCGTGTGCACCGTCGAATTACTTCTTCGGTGTGCATGGGTTTAATTTTCCCGTTGTCGTTGACTTCATCCCCGAGTTCTGAAGGAAACCGTTTTACCGCATTCAACCAATCAGTACATATCTCAGGCGGCCTGTAGAAAACCTTCAACTCGTGCGGACGTGGATACCATTGGTACATATGGTCGTCCGGTAACGTCATGCAAACCCGTCCCGTTTTCCGTTTTTTCTGCCGCGTTTCCTTCCAGGACCCCACGGCTACCGATATGAATGAGTGCGTGGAATACGTGGTGCGCGTCGAGGGCGAAGAGGGCGGGGCGTTCGTCCACTGGTGCCACTAGCTACTGCTGACGACCATGGTTCAGGGGTTTACTGCCCGCGGCGGTGAGCATGGCTGCGACAAATGTTGGATGCCGCTTGGTTCCGGCGCAGATTTGGACTGTTTTCAGAGGCTGCTGCGACCTTCGATATTTCAGCTCCAGCAGCAAACCTGAAGATACCAGCACGCACGACGCCTTTTCATGGCGTCCTCTACTGATGACAATAGAATGCGACAACTAACCCTGGCGGGAAGGTTGTTTTCTTTGTTTGTATCGGATTATAGTATGGCAAAAAGAGCCAGCGTCACAGCCCCTTTTCTGCACCTCCTTAAGGAAGCATGCGGGTGTATGACCATGGAGGCCCAGATCTCGACCTTAGACCTGCCGGCGCAAAACGTGTGTTGCGCCGGAAACTTTCTCTTTGGAGTCACGGGCCGCACAGCGGCACTCGACGACTACTTGCGGCCGGTGGACGCCGCCCTCGTTTTCGCGAACGGAGAGATGGTGCTGCTGTCCGAACGCGAGGCCGACGGGGTACTGCTGGCGCTTTCGTGTGCTTCCTCACGCTCCACGGATAGCCCTGCTCCATCCACGCCACCGAAGCTGGTACACCTCGTACACCACATCGGAGCTGAACGAGCCTCGAGTCAGGGCCAATCCCCTCATGCGCGATGCCAAGCTCCAGGGGTCTCCGCGGGGCGACCAGCGAGCCCCTTCGGCTGGTCGTGTGAGCGAAATAGTACCTGACGGGGGGGTGGGTTGGACTCGGCCCCGATTGCGGTTCACGATACGGCGCTCGCCAGCGTATGGGTTTTCGGCGGAACGACCGTCATCCCGGCGCATGCACGGGGTGCAGTAAGGAAGTACGTGCGGGGACAGAGGCTCCCGGTGGGGCATATTTTTATGGTGCGGGGTCTCGAGCAGGCACTTCCCCGGTCAGATCTCGATCGCCTGCTGACCTGAATTCCTATTCGTGTGAGAGGTGTACAAGCTTAGGTAGAGGAATTTGATTTTGATATGGCGGCTTGTTGGATATAGAGGTCGGTGCCGTGTGTGGTTGATGAACGGTACCATACTCAGCGACGTTCAGAATGAGCGTGTTGAAGAGATGAAATCGAGCAGATCAATCCCCCGACGGGCTCAATATGTGATACGAAGGGCAGCTGACACCGCCCGCAATGGAGGTTTACTTAAGCATTTGGCGTTCGCCGAGCCATGGAGAGAAAAAAAGCCTCGATGAAAAAAAGGTGTAGTCTACTGTAGTTTGTAGGGTTCAGATGAGTAAAATGTTGGACAATTCGAATCAGAAGACATCTTGTGTACACGGGCCGTCATATGTGACTAGTTGCACCTCGGAACAAAGGGATTGTCAATACTACTTGGTGTGTATGTCGCTAATACTGGCTGTCCCCAGGGCCAGGTTTGCTCAGATGGTGATGAAAACAGTGATCAGGCAGGGGCAATCATCGTCGGGGGCGATCCCTACACCGAAGTACAAAGAACCATTGGTTGCCACTCGAGGAAAGACAGAGACATGATGGAAAGGCGCAGAATGGTGTCTGTGGAGAAAAATCTGCCCTGCCGTTGCCATCTCGCTCTTTCCTCGGGTGTGGAAACGAAATTATGATTGACTCGAAAGAAGAACAGCAAACGCCATGAAATTAACATGTATAACGGACGGCTCGCGTCTTGAGTCCCGAGCCCTCGACAGGGGCGTTGTCACGGACAGATTTCTCGCTGTGGTCGGCTAGGGTCGCCGAAAAATAACTGAAACACGACAGGGGGTGAACTCTTCGTCTCAGTTCGTAACCCATGCTGTATATTATTGAGTTTGACGCCATAGATATCGACTTGGTTCATGATGCGTATAGGTTCACGTGTGCATGTGCGTATGCACAGGTTGCTTAGATAGTTAACGTTCTGACTGTTGACTGCGAAGAGGAGAAGGCTTCTCACCTGGAAATACACCACACGTGTGCCACGTACAGTAGTGATGAAGCTGCTGCGTGCGCCTAAAACGAACGGGAAGAAGACCCTACCCGCCAAGAACGAAATGGGTGATGATGTAACTTGACGTTGACGTTCTTCGTAAGAGCTCGACCAATATTCGCGAGCGCGACCAATGCGGCTCGTTTACCTTTTTTGGATAACAGCCCAGCGTGGGCTGTCCGGGATGCAGGGGGCAATCGTCCGATTAGGAGCACTTCGCGGTAGTGCAATGCTCTAGGCGCGCGACCGCCCGGCCCCGCGACGGGCAGGCGGTGGTGGAAAAGCTTTTTTCCAAGGATGTACGTTACCCCTTTACCGGAAAACGGTTGGTGGGGTCGGTCAAGTCGAAATTGGGGAATTCATGACATTCTTGTCGCCCCCCCCCCCCTCCATATATTTGCGCCCCCCCTCGGACCCCCCCCCATCTATCTGTGTTTGCCATCGGGGTTGGGTTTTCGTCGCTGGGCACCGACGTTGTATCACAAGCCGATCACTTCGTGAGCTCGGCAACCAGTTTCCGCTTTTTTTTTGCCTCTGTTTTTTTAATTGTTTGCGGTAACCATATTGTTCGCGTAAATAATGTTGTGCGGGGTCGAGAACCCTCACTCCGCGTAAAGGGGATGAATGCACCGCGTTTTGGTCGAGCAGTTACACGGTGCTTGTATCTGATGCGAGAGCCTGGTCCGGTGAGAACCCGGCGTGCTCCGTCTCGGATTTTTAGGGATGCGAGGTCAATGGTCTAACGACTACGGCATGCACGACTATGAGTGCACCCCCCCTCGGCCTCCCCGCTGTGTGCGATCGGGGTTGGGTTTTCGTCGCTTGGCGACGGCGTTGTAAAACAAGCCGATCGCTTCGTGAGCTCGACAACCAGGTTTCCGCTATTTGTTTCCTGTGCTTTTTTTTTTGGGGTAAACCATAATGAATGGTGGTCGAGTAGATAATGTTGTGCGGCGTCGCGAACCCCCACTCCGCGCAACGGGGATGATCGCACCACGTTATGTTAATTGGTCAAGCAGTTACACAGCGGTTATAACTATCTCAGAGCTCTGGAAGTGAAAGCAACAGAAAACAAGTTAAGTCATTCGCAGCTGTCATCCGTACGCAAGGAAGTAAGCAGAAGGTGCCGAACACCCTTCATGCGACTCGCCGAATACCTCACGGTGCTTCACGCTTGGTGATGTGAGAGCCTGATCCGGTGAGAACCCGGCGTGCTCCGTCCCGGCTTTGTAGGGATGCGAGGTCAATAGTCAAAACGACAATCACGGCATGCACGACCCCCCCTCGGCCCCGGCCTTACGACTATCTCCCACACTTTTGCAAAACCGCCAACGGGAGGCCTATGGGCCGCCCATTGGCACTTACTTGAACCTCGCCACGGCATATCAACCTATAGCTTATCCATCGGCACATCAGCCTTTGACTTAGCCACCTAGCGCCAACCTAGCACACATCGTATGGGCTTGGGGTTAGGGTTAGGGTCTTCGTTAGGGTTATTTGGCGTTACAATGCCCATTCCAGAGCAGATAATATATTGCTTAGGAGTATACTGGTTCCGGTTAAGGGCACCCATTGGCCGCCCATGGACGGTTCAACAACACTGTCTGTAGAAAGTGTGGGAGACCCAGGGAGACACAGAGCGATGGTCTCGCGTTGGCGATTACTCTGGCCAGTAAATATTTTTTTCTGCTTTTCTTTGACGCGGAGACCATGTACGTCCCGGAACGTGATATATCCTAAAAAATTGTCAGCCGTCATTTTCGTATTTTCTTTTCTACTCGAGTACCAGTATTTTTTCTGCATGGTACTGTCAAGATGTGGAGCGAGCGGTAGACAGACGTCGGCTGAGCCACACGAGCAACCGCCCCTGCATCCTGCTCACCCGTCAAAACCAACCAACATGTCCATGATGAGCACGGCGTGTGTGTACGTCTTTTCAACAAACTGTATTCAGCACTGAGTATATTTCATTCACTGCTTCTCTGCTGCTCTGCTGTGTACAGTTTTCTCCGACCACACAGGCCCTCTCTCTCTCTTTCTCTCTCTCTCTCTCTCTCTCTCTCTCTCTCTCTCTCTCTCTCTCTCTCTCTCTCTCTCTCTCTCTCTCTCGAACACTCTTAGCAGGTGCTTCTGTGACGAGATGTGACTATCTCCGACGCGGGTTCAGTGTGGAGCTAGTCCGATCACTGTGTGCAGGTTGGAGCCGCTTCGCTTCTTCGGTCTGTTTCCTTCCTTATCCTTCCTTTCTCTCTCAGTCGCTCGCTATCGCTCACTCCCAGGCAACACAAGGAAACACACGGCAGCACACGGCAGCACACCGAGACGGGTGGAACGCTAGCACATCGCTTGCTACTGCTAGTAACCATTTTACTGCTACCTGCGGAAAGTCGGAATACTACATAGGAATCTGGGCGGGTTGGTCGGGATTTTCCTGAAAGATTACCCGCCCAGATGATATTTAGTCCAAGGGTCCAAACACCACATAATTAGGGGGTCACTGCATCAAAGCGACTACTGCCGTTGTTCGTGGTGGTGTGCCGGCGCTCCGAGAAAGCACCACACGCACGCTCACACACCACCAATGAACGAAACCCGTCTGGAAACAAACAACCCCGGGGAAAGTCGTTTTTCATCCGCGCTTTTTGCGGAAATATACCGGTCGGTTCAGCCGATTGCTGGTGTGCGGCAAATTATTACCGGTCGGTGAGGGGGTCACTGGGTCAAATAAAAAGGGGATCTGAAACTGGAAACATCCATACATCCTTGTTTGTTTCTGGTAGACACCCCGTCCATCGAAGCTCTTCTCGCTTGCGCGGGCCAGCCGGTTAGTCGACGCTAACGGGCTAGTCCCTCCGCTGTGCTGTGAGCGCTCCGGTTCTGCCCTCTCAGGGCCCGAGAGCTGAAGCATAGGAAGTAGTTATGTACCCGTCTACATTCTATACATGTGTTTCCCCGCCCGGCACGTCCTTCCGTGTCCGTGAGTTGTGCAACGTATTTCATCCGTCCCAAAACATTGCATTTTCGTTTTCTCA